TCTGGGTGGGGAAGGAGCTGAAGGATCCCCATGGTTTGGGGTTTTTGGTGAGGGTGCAGTGCTCCAGAAGGACAGGGGTGCTGTGGGACCCTCACCCACCCCCAGGACACCAAAGTGTCTCAGGACACATTTCAGTGTGTTCAGCCTTTCACTTCCCATGTTTTTACAAACACACAACGCAGGGGAAGCTCATTTTAATTTTTATTAGAAAGTGTTTCTCATTCTTATATTTGCACAGCATAATGTAGAGAATGAGACAGAATCTTCAGATGACCTGGAAAAGCCTTGTGGGAGATTTATAAACCGTCTACTTCATCCGTAAGAACATTTGTTTTAATTCCCATATAAAAGTGAGATAAATTGGCTTGTAATAGCACGAGTCCAAAAATATCTCATGTTACCACTTTATTTCCATATTGCAACATAACACAATTCAGTGCATAATTGGAAAGCTGAATTAGAAAAGAGGAGCAGTTGCTCCTGATTAGAGTGAAGGCGAAGTTTTACCCTACAGAAAGGATTTCTRACTCCTGAAGGGATTTTCCAAAGCTCTGCAGCTCTGAGTTCAGTTGTTCTGCAAACTGTGAGTTCAGTCCTTCTGGCCCAGCAGCTGGAAATGTCTCCTGGGCTGGCAAAGACTGAGCTCTGCTCCCAGAGAAATCCCAGTTCATGCAAAACCTGCCATTGATGGATTTGGTTCTGTAAAAATTGCTGCTTATTAGGTCTGTGTATTCCAGACCAGTCCAATTTTCTCTCAAGGTTTTGAAGGTAATTCTTGTGATTTGCATGAATAAAGCAAGAATCCGGAAAACATAAAAATCTAAAATTCAAATGGAAATCACTTATGTAAAAGAAGTGATAAAATCTAGGTGCTTTTGCATGTGAATGATGTCCTCAGGGTTGGGTTTTCTCCAGCGCTGCTTCAAAGTCGGTGCATTTGTAACGCAGAGTGTGAAGTTAAAATTTGCCAAAATTCAGAGTCTGCTTGAGAGGAGATGAGTGAGGGTGAMCCTTCAGAATGAATTCGTCCTTTTGTCGTGGTAAAAATGGCTTCAAACCCTCCTGGGGAGAGGTCCTGGCAGAACAACACCACATTGGGTTTGGAAAAACCTCGATTTTCGCTGGCAGCGCTTCCAGACAGGAATGGTTTGGGGTAAAAGAATTTCAGAGCCCATCCAGTGTCACCCCAGCATGGCAGGGACACCTCCCACTGTCCCAGGGTGTCCCCAGCCCCAATGTCCAGCCTGGCCTTGGGCACTCAAAGGGGTCCAGGGGCTGCTCTGGGCACCCTGTGCCAGGGCCTCACCCTCCCAGGGGAGGATTTATTCCCAATATCCCACCAAACCCTGTCCTCTGGCAGTTTAAATCCCTTTTTAACCTGTCCCTCCAGGCCCTTGTAAAGTCTCTCTCTGTGTTTTAAAGTCTCTCTCTGTGTTTCTTGAAGCTCCTGGAAGGTGACAATTGTGTCACCCCAGAGCCTTCTCCCCTCCAGGCTGAGTGAGCTCCATCCCAGTTCTCATTCACGTCAAGTTCGAGTATCTCTCACTAAATCTGCATCTTAATTTCTTAATTTAATCTCAGSTTTGGGAGCTGCCAGGTTCAGCAGCCAGCTGTAAAAGGCACGCACGAGTTATTAGAGTCCCATTGTCAGTTAAATCTGATCCTTTGTACTTTAAGTCACCCATTTGCATTCATCTAAAATGCTTCCCCAGAATTTATCAGAAGAAGTGAAATAAGGAATGAAATAGTTTCACGTAAACYGCATTTTTATGTCTGCCTGGTAAAACCACAAAGCAGAGATAAAACACATAAAGCTGAGGCTCTGCATAATAAGCATATCTATTAGTTTCCCTTATCTTTCTGCTKCTCCCATTTGTCATGAGAAGCTTTGTGTGTCACTCATCCCTCCTTGTTCTACAAACGCTCTTTTCTCCCTCGCCTCTTATCTCCCATCAGCGTCTGCAAGGTGGGAGCTGCCAAAGGGGCCTTGGATTAAAGGATCTGTGCACCTTCGACCCCTCGAGCAGGGAAAATAAAGATAAACAAAAGTCTGCTGCTGTGATGGTGCAGCTCGGGCAGCAAACCAGGGTTAGGGGATGGTGTTGGATGGAAGGACCCCAGGGTGTCCCTCCCAGTAAAGCCAGTTCCCCAATTCCCTCCCAGTAAGGCCAGTTCCCCAGTCCGTCCCAGTAAGGCCAGTTCCCCAACTCCCTCCCAGTAAGGCCAGTTCCCCAATTCCCTCCCAGTAAGGCCAGTTCCCCAGTCTCTCCCAGTAAGGCCAGTTCCCCAATTCCCTCCCAGTAAGGCCAGTTCCCCAGTCCGTCCCAGTAAGGCCAGTTCCCGCTGGGGCAGCCTCTGGAATCAGGGGGGTTGTGGTGTGGTGTGGGCTGGGCAGGGGCTGGGTGCAGAACCTCCTAATTATATATAAATATATAAATATATAAATATATAAATATATAAATATATAAATATATAAATATATAAATATATACCTGAAGAAGTCCCAGGGACACCCAGAGCAGACCCAGCATTTTGGGAGTTGTTTGCAGGGGTTTGGGGCAGAGACTGAAAGTTTCCCCAGAGATGGAAAATCTGGAGACATTGGTGTTTTTCTCAGAGTTTTCCCATGAGAAGTTGGGACTGATGACCACTGGAGGGGAGGAGAAGAGGAAATGGTGTTTTGNCCAGTTCCCCAGTCCGTCCCAGTAAGGCCAGTTCCCCAGTCCGTCCCAGTAAGGCCAGTTCCCCAGTCCGTCCCAGTAAGGCCAGTTCCCCAGTCTCTCCCAGTAAGGCCAGTTCCCCAATTCCCTCCCAGTAAGGCCAGTTCACCAGTCCATCCCAGTAAGGCCAGTTCCCCAGTCCGTCCCAGTAAAGCCAGTTCCCCAGTCCGTCCCAGTAAGGCCAGTTCCCCAATCCCCTCCCAGTAAGGCCAGTTCCCCAGTCTCTCCCAGTAAGGCCAGTGGTGTGGTGTGGGCTGGGCAGGGGCTGGGTGCAGAACCTCCTAATTATATATAAATATATAAATATATAAATATTTAAATATATAAATATTTAAATATATAAATATATAAATATATAAATATTTATATATAAAAATATATAAATATATAAATATTTAAATAAATATATAAATATAAATATAAATATAAATATAAATATAAATATAAATATAAATATAAATATAAATATATATATATATATATATTTCTATACCTGAAGGAGTCCCAGAGGTGTGGGGCACTCCCTGCTCCAGTGCAGGGACACTCAGGGCAGACCCAGCATTTTGGGGGACGTTTGCAGGGGTTTGGGGTGGAGGCTCTGAAAGCTCCCCCAAGATGGGGAAATCTGGAGACATTGGTGTTTTTCTCAGAGTTTTCCCATGAGAAGATGGGAGTGATGAGCACTGGAGGGGAGGAGAAGAGGAAATGGTGTTTTGAAGAATCCCCTCTCAGTGTGTGCTGGTTTCCCATCTCTCTGGATTCCCTGTGTGTTTAATTTTTAAAAGGATCCACAGAGGTGCTGCTGCCTCCCCAGTCCCTCACACCTGAATTGTGCTGTCCCTGTGYTTTTAATTGTGCTGAATCCTCTCAAGTAGTGAGAATTGTTCTTGTTTATCCGTTATGTGTGTCCTCTGAAAAGACAGTTAAAAAAAAAGGGGTAAAAAAGGCTTTTCTACCCCTCTATATTTGCAGAGTACATTTTTTAATCTCTGTGGGTTCTTTGAATGCTCATCTCAGTACCYGTTCTCTGACTTGAAAATATTTTTCCACAATAACGAGCACAGCTGAATGTCATGAGCACAGAAATCACTGTGGACGTTCTGCAAAGTTATTTCAGTGAATGKAGAGAATCAAAGTACAGTAAAAACAAGAAAATCCCATCTTCCTCAATGTTTTTAAAAGTCAGAAATTTCTACTAACCTGTGTTGTTATAGTTCCTCTTCTGTAGCTTACAGCTCAGCTAAACCTTAATTAATATCAGAATTATTTCAGTCCGGATCTGATCTTCACTCTTTAAATAACTGAACAAAAGCTGAGCCATAACTTTCTGTGGGATTTGTGTTAAATCCACTGAAAGTGTCCAGCACTGAGGTGGATCAGGAGAGCATTGGTGTGGGACGTCACCGTGGCTGCAGCCTGGAGATCTCAGCTCACACATCTGCACTGCGAACTTAAAAACGGTTAAAAATGGCTGTACAATGGGTGTTTGTGTGGCCTGGAGCATCCCCATGTGTAACACACCGCAAAGGGGTTAAAAATCCCATTAAAATGGGTGTTTGTGTGTGACTCGGAGCAGCCCCAGTGGGTGACACACTTCAAACTGGTTAAAAATCACTGTACAATGGGTGTTTGTGTGACCTGGAGCATCCCTGGTGTGTAACACACTGCAAAGGAGTTAAAATCCTGTAAATGGTTAAGATCCCGTAAAGGGTTAAAATCCCGTAAAGGGTTAAAATCCTATGAATGGTGTTTATCTCTGCCCCAGCAGCCATGTGTAACACACTGCAAAGGGGTCCCATAAATGGTTAAAATCCCATAAATGGTGTTTGTGTCTGTGTAACACACTGCCAAGGGGTTACAATCCCATCAATGGTTCCAATCCCTTTATTGGGTGTTTCTCCCTGCCCCAGCCCGTGTGTAACACATTGCAAAGGGTTAAAATCCCATAAATGGTTGCAATCCCATAACTGGTGTTTCTCCCTGCCCCAGCAGCCCTGTGTAACACACTGCAAAGGGGTCCCATAAATGGTTACAATCCCATAACTGGTTCCAATCCCTTTTTTGGGTGTTTATCTCTGCCCCAGCAGCCCCCGTCTATAACACAAAGGAGTTACAATCCCATCAATGGTTTCAATCCCTTTATCGGGTGTTTCTCCCTGCCCCAGCAGCCCTGTGTAACACACTGCAAAGGGGTTACAATCCCATAACTGGTTCCAATCCCTTTTTTGGGTGTTTCTCCCTGCCCCAGCCCGTGTGTAACCCATGTGTGTCCCCCCACAGCTCTACATCCAAACCACCACGCTCACCATCTCCATGAACCTGAGCGCGTCGGTGGCGCTGGGGATGCTCTACATGCCCAAGGTTTACATCATCATCTTCCACCCCGAGCTCAACGTGCAGAAGCGCAAGCGCAGCTTCAAGGCGGTGGTGACGGCGGCCACCATGTCCTCGCGACTGTCCCACAAAGCCAGCGAGCGGCCCAACGGAGAGGCCAAAACAGAGCTGTGCGAGAACGTGGATCCCAACAGTGAGTGGGGATGGGCC